CCTGGCTGGCCTGGAACCTGCAGAACTCTCTGCCTGTCTCTACCTCCCAAGTGCTGGGATAACAAGTGCTCGCCACCATACCTGGCACCAACTCACTCTTTATTATTGCATTGCTATTATTTCAAGTATATGTATATTGTGGGGGGGGGGGTACAGTGCCCACAGAGGCCAAAAGAGAGAGGGCATGGAGTTGCTGTTACAAGTAGTTACAGGCCACAGGATATGGGTGCTGGGAAACAAATTCTGGTCCTCTGAAGAACAATGAACATTTCTAACTGCTGAGTCCTCTTTCCAGCCTCCCATAAAAACAAACAAGCAAACAACAAAGCCTCTTAATTTCATTTTTTTCTCTTAATTACACTTTAAAACTGCACTTTAGAAATTTATTTTGCAGGGCTGGAGACATGGCCCAGCAGTTAAACACTCACTGATCTTCCAGAGGACCCAGGTTCAATTCCCAGCACCCACATGGTAGCTCACAACTGTCTTTGACTATAGTTCCAGGGGACATGACACCCTTACAAAGGAAAAACACCAATGCACATAAAAATAACATTTAAAAATTATTTTGCATGTATGTATGTCTGTATGTGTGGGGTCATGCTTGTGCGAAAGTGTGTGTGTGGAGATCAGAGGACGACTTTGTGGAGCTGGTTCTCTCCTTCCACCATGTGGGTCCAGAGAACAAACTCAGGTTATCAGGTTCAGGGGCAGGCGCCTTACCTGCTGAGTCATCTCACCAGCCCCTAGTTTTGTTTTTGTTTCTGTTTTGAAAGTCTCATGTAGCTCAGGCTAGCCTCAAACTTGCTATGTAGGTAAGGATGACTTTGAACTTCTGAACCTACTGCATCTATCTCGTAAGTACTGGGATTACAGGCATGAACTACCATGCCTGGTTTTGATCATCCTATTTATATTTTGTTGTCCATCTCTTTAAACTAAAGTTGATGGGTTTTCAGGATGTCCAAGGGTGCAGGGAGTGGAGGAGATAGGGAGCCACTCTGTAGACAGAGACTGTTTGTTCGTTTCCTGACTGCTCAGATCCATAAAATCACACAGAAACCACTTTAATTACAACACTGTTTGTCCAATGATTTAGGTGTGTTTCCAGTTATCTCTTACATCTTGAATTAACCCAGTTCCATTAATCTATGTATTAGCCCGAGGCTGTGGCTTCCTGGTGTCTGTCTCCTTCTGCAGCTACGCGACTTCTCCTTGACTCCTCCTACTATGTTTATATATCTCTGTTCAGATTTCCCACTTGGCTTTACTATGCTAAGCCATTGGCTGAAACAGATTTTTTTATTAACCAATAGTAATAAAACATATTCACAATATGCAGAGGGGAATCCCATATCACCACTTCAGCATCTGTGTAGGTAGCAGGATTATAAATACTTCTTGTCCAGGGGAAGGCAGCAGAGGAACAAAGCAGGCCATGAGTTTATTGGTGATTATTCAGGAGGACTGTCACAGGGTCAGGACTGAAGCCAAAGCACTCAAGGCGGATTCTACCTCTTCTACCTTTTAGCTACGTGGCATTAGGAAGATCCACCCTCCTGTACAGGTGAGGAAACGAGAGCCAAAAGGAGACAAATCACGTGTCCTACACGGCCCAGGGTATTTTCTCTTTTCTCTTGTTTGTGAATGATGTATGTGTGTGTACATGTATGCATGTAAGTGGAGGCTAGAGGTTGAGGAAGGGTGTCTCCTCAAGTGCTGTCTTACCTGTGTGTTACATGAGAGTGCGGGTGCATGCAAAAAAAATGAATTTGGGATTTAACTGAAATCAGGAAATGACGGCCAGCAATAAATCTGCATCTTGTATGAGGGAAAAAAACAAAACAAAACAAAATAAAACAACAACAACAAAAAAAACAAATGGGGTTCAAGCAGCAACATCTCACTGTTTTCAGGGATCGCCATAAAAAGGCCAAATGATAAGGCCGATATGTTTAGTTGCCACCTAAGTGGGCACCATTCACTGGGCAAACATTGCACTGTTAATTCATTGATAAGCAACTCATTGACCAATAGGTGGCAGTAAAGGGCCTTGATACACAGACAAATGGAGGCGTGCCTCCTGAAGGGAAGGATTACTTTGTATAAAATTTATATATAAATGCTTAACGTGGGCAAACAGTGGAAGAAAGAATTAAAAATGAAAGAATTAGAGTGGTCACTACATGACTCAAAAACCTGAATGGTATCAAGAGGTGACCTCCCTGAAGGTAGGTGATCTTAGAATTTAAAGATCAGTTTTTAAATATCCTGAAATTTAAAACTAAAAATAAAACAAAATAAAAAAATATTTTAGGTGTGTGTTTTCCCTGCATGTATGTATTTGGATCTCATTCATTCAGTGTTCGTGGAGGCCAGAAGAGGGCAGCAAATTCCTTGGAACTGCAATTACAGATAGTTATGAGCCTATGTGTGGGTGCTGAGAACCAAATCTCGGCTGTTAAAGGCTAGGCTCACAACCAAAAACATAAGGGCTGAAGTCTAGTGCCTGAAATATAGTGACTAATAAGACACACGTGTGGTGGTTTGAATGCGAATGGCCTCCACAGGTTCATATGCTTGAATACTTAGTCTCCAGCTGGTAGAACTGTTTGGGAGCATCAGGTGTGATTAGAGGAGTTGTGTTACTGGAAATGGGCTTTGAGATTTCAAAAAAATCTCTCAGCAATTCCTGGTGTTCTGTCTTCTACCTGCAAATCAAGATGTGCCACCTGTGGGCATTCCATCACTCTGACATCATAGACGCTAACCCTCTGGAACCATAAGCTCAGTTAAACGCTTTCCTTTTAAGTTGTCTTGACCATGGTGTTTCATCACAGCAATAAAAGTAACTGGTGCAGCTCGTACAAGTGACATTATCTATGAAAGATACTTGCCTGTTGTGTGAAATATTACCATTCATAACGAATAGCTCACCCAGTAGTTGTGAAATTGGTTAAGAACACAAGTTGTAGAATCAGACATCCTGAGACTGAACCTATGTTCTTCTGTTTAATAGATAAGAAACTTTGGACAAGTCCTTTAAATGACTTTTTGCCCACATCCCACCAATAAGGATAATAGTATCCGTACCTAATTTATGAGGTTTGTGGCAAAGATTAGGCAAGATCACCTCCATAAAGGGCTTGGCATTAAATGCTTGATAGATATCTACAACAATAGTTGTTATTATTTTTTTATTACCAGTACAAATTTTGGAAACATAACCCCTACAAAGTTGATTCCAGGTTGTCCTGGTGTCACAGGCCTCTGAGACAGGGTGAGCCAAGGTTTCCTCTCTCACTTCCACTTCCAACCCCACATGTTTGAGCACTTGGTCCCTAGCTGGGCATGCCTTGACATTTTTGGAGGTTATAGAACCCTTGGGGAGGCGGGGTAGGATCTAGCTGGAGGAAAAGGATCTCTGGAGAATAAGGCTTGAGGTTTAATTACTGACCCTGTCATTCCAGTGTTGTCTCTACTTTCTGATCTGCCCAGGTGTAAGCAAGCTTCCCTGCCATAGCTCAGAGCTGTCCTGTTGTCATGCTGCCCCTGCCTGAGGGACGAGATTCCCTCGAACTGCGAGCCAAATGAAATCCTTTCTGCCTTAAGTTGCATCTTGTCAGGTGTTCTATCAAAGCATTGAGAAAGCAATCACCACATCAGTTAGACAGAGATCAAGCCAGAGTCATGGTTAAGCAATATTCTTTCTTTAATTCCCTTTTGCAAATGGAAGCCCCTGAGCTGATACCCACCCCCACCCCTACCCGACTGCCTGGGAACCTTCAAATGCAAGGCCCCTGCCTCAACCTGGTGGAAGGGGACGATTACCTCTCCCTATGATGGCCTATTTTAAAAAATCCTAGTCACTTAAGAAATGGGTCCAGGTACAGGAGCTGGAAGACAAGGCCTAGGTCAGACCAGTCTGAAGGTGTTGGGGTTGTGAGACCCTTGAGAAGGGTTTGCAAGCACATCCCTAAGCTCAAGGGCAGCATGGCTGTGAGAGGAGAAGAGACAGACAGACAGTCTGACTCCTCAAGGTCCTGCCTGCCTGGTCATGAACACTGACGTCACCATTACCACCAAAAGCCTCCAGTTAGAGAATTTTCCAGTTACTCTGGGATAGGGTTTGCTAAGCATCCCCTCTGGCCCCTGATCTGAGGCATCCGTGGGGTCCCCCTGAGACCAACCCTGGGAGAAAGAGGGACTCTAGGAACATGCAAAGGCGGGGAGCAGAGATCCCGCCCACCCCAATGCTCTACAGGATGGTGGCTCCGGCTGCATCTGGGCTCCGAGGGTCCTTTACACCGATGATGAAGTTGTTGGTTCTCCGACTGCCGTGGACCCAGGATAAGACATCTACCTTCTCCACATGGTGACCCCTGGCTTCCAGGAACTCAATCTCTTCCTCGGTGAACTCACCTGGAAACCATCCCCCCCGGTAAACATGCATTTAGAGCACTGACTCAGGAACCTTATGATTAGATCTGACTCAGTTTGGACTATTTTCCTTCCTTTCTCCCTCCTTTCCTTCCTCCCTCCCTTCCTTCCTTTTTTTCCCCCTTTGAAATAGGGGTCTCATGTAGCCCTGGCTGACCTCAGACTCCCTATGTCCCTACTAGTGGAGATGCCCCTGAACTTCTTCTGATCCTCCTGCCTCTATTACCAGAGTTCTGGAATTCAGGGCAGCACAAGCTTCAGTTTATATGGTACCGGAATAGAGCCTAGGGCCTCATGTACTCTGGGCAAGCACTCTACCAACGGTGCTACATCTATAGTCATATCCGGCCATTTTCTTTGGTTTTGTTTGAGACAGAGTCTCACTGTGTATCTTTTGCTGGTCTGGAAGTTGCCATGTAGACCAGGCTAGCCTTGAACTCACAGAGCTTTGCCTGCTTCTACCACTCAAGTGCTGGGATTAAAGGCATGTGCCACTGCACCTGGTACCCCCTGCTTTTCCCACAAAGTATTCACTATTATTCCCACTGATTGGCTGCAACCCTCTCCTTAATTTAAGGTTTTTTAAAAGCAGGTTGTCTTGTTAGTGATTGCTTCCTAGTGCTTACAGAAGGTCAGCACACTGTAAAACTTAAGTCTATGTTTGCAAGATTATAGTTGCTTCACCTCTGGTTTGAGTTCAGGTTTTCATCATCTCCCGCCTTGGGCCATATCCCACGTGCTTCGCTAGACTTATGTTCTCTCTTTAATCCACCTTCCCTTCCCAAAGCAAATCAGGCCATAAGTCTCTCCCCAGTTGAGTGCTTCTTAACTTAGACCTCAACAAACAGTCTAGTTTATGTCACTTCCCTTGTTCCTTTATAAAGATTTGGTCTCCTTATGTCCCCAGACAGGATGATTTTAAGTGGTTCTTAAGAAAAAGCATTATTATTTATTTACTTATTAATTTTTTTTCAACAGAGTCTGTTATGTAGCTCTGGCTGTCCTGGAACTCACTCTGTAGACCAGGTTGACCTCAAATTCAGAGATCTACCAACCTCTGCTTCCTAAGTGCTAGGATTAAAGATATGCACCCTCTAGCTTGGCCGCTAAAACTCCATATTACTGAATAGTATTAAATCACATCAGAAATCTATTTCCTTTGTGGTTCACTTTTCATCCTTTTGATTATGGCAAGGAGCAAGCTTTAGGCTGGTCTCTAATATTTCCTGAACTCTTTCACAGTGAGAATGATCCTCCAGACCTTCTGTAGATAACACCTAAACATATTTGACTTCTAAATAACTATTCAGGATCTATTTTTTGCAATTGATATCATTTTCCTATTTGTGATTTGGGTTTAAATTCAAACTACACTTAGTTTTAAAAAGGGGGGGCGGGGAAGATGGCTGGAGCGAGAGCTCAGTGGTTAAGAGCATTGGCTGCTTTTTCAAAGGACTCAGGTTCAATCCCAGTACCCACATGACAGCTCACAACGGTCTGTAATTCCAACTCCAGGGGATTCGATACTCTCATACAGACATACATGCAGACAAAATACAAATGCATAAACAAAATAGGTCATTAGAAAAAGGAAGTTCATCTGTAGAGATTATGCACAGTGTGGCATGGAGTTTGTGTAAAGTCACAAAGGGGCTAGGCAAATTCAGAAGTTTGGAAGCAGCTGGCCCTACTGATGCTTTCCCACGCCATTCTTTCTGGGTTCTTCATAGATTGCTCCTCCTGTCCAGAAAGTCATTTATCACTACATGCTGAATTCCCCACCCCTAATCCAGTCAGTCACCACCTCCTCCGTGAAACCTTCCGAAGTCACTTGCTGGTAAATTTTTAACTAGTTTATAGCCACCATGAGCTTCTTTATCTGCAAAATAATGATGATACTGACCGAGCAAAGACTGTCTCCATCAATCCTGGATCCTCTTTGAACTTAGCCGAGTAGATTATAATAAAAACTACCCAAAAGTGCGGTGTTTTCCTATTTATAAAACTAAACCATGTTCAAAATGAAGCTTTTGTTGTTGGGACAACTCTGTCTCTTCACCATAAACTGCTGAGGTCGTGATCTTGTCCCTGCTCTCCTCTCTGATCCTAGCATATCCTCATTCACCTTGATCTCTTTTTATCTCTTAAAAAGCACGAAGCTCAATTCTGCTCCGAGTTCTCTGCACTTGTTCTTCGTCTACAAAGCTCTGCCCCAGTTTCTGGCATGGTAGGGGCTTTCTCATTCTTCAGATCTCGGCTTAGATGTCACCTAAGAGAAGCCTCCCCTGATCCCTGAAGGTCCAGTTACATCATGCTGCTCTGATGCAGTGCCTGAGCTTTCCTTTTGCTAGCTCACATTTCTCTGATTATTTTTCCTTCTGCCTGTAAACGCAGTATCCCTGAAGCTGGGGTGCTACTCGACACATAGTAGGTGTTCGTCATACCCCATGGAATGGAAGCAACAGCTGTTATTTTATAAAGGAGAAAATGAAGTCTCAAGAGTTGAGACATGGATTTCCTAATGTCACAGGAAAGGCCAAGATGTTTCCAATCTCCAGATCTTACAGTAGCCCTACAGGAATTTGTCAGGGGGAACTCCCCAAAACTTTCGCAAAAAGGAAGTTAGTGCTGGTCAAGGCAGGCAAAGCTTTGGGAGAGCCCTTCTCCACCAACCCCTGTACCCATCCCATAGGAATTTGCTCTGCACTCACTGTCCACCTGCAGGAGGTTGGACTGCAGGTCTGGATGGAGGCGTCCTCGGGCCAGGCTGTCACTCAGGTTCCGATTCAATGTCAGGACATTCAGGAGAACCTGTAGGCAGAGGAGAGTTGAAGGAAGGGGCGTGTCTAGCATCATTCTTTTATAGTCTAGCCAGGGGCTTCCTTTTTCCTCTCTGAGAAGGCAGGGTTAACAGATAGGATGATTTAGGGATCAACATGGGTAGCTTAGCTTAATGGTCAGGAGTTGGGTACACTCCAGACCTGAACTTCCTACCCAATGCTACTAACCAAATCAACGTGAGTCAATTTCTTAACTGCCTGAGCTTCAGTTTCCTCCTCTGTAAAACCAGAACAGTCATTTCTGCCCAGAGTTGGAGGAGTTAAAGGGGTCAACACACATAGTGCCCAGCGTCTAGCAAGGACGCTGTGATGTTAGATATTGTTTTCTCCACTTCACAGGTGAGGACACTAAGGATCAGGAGGATAAGGATCAAGTGATTTCCCCGTTATCACACAGCTGGAGATCATTAGCAGCACTTGGGCTGGAACTCAGGGAAGACTAGTTCCGGAGCTGTTAACCCAGTTCTATTATTTTATATTTTACCATGAGGCTTGCGGTTTGTTACATCTTGCTTCTTGGGCGGCTACAAAGCATCTGCCTGACTCCGCCTTCTTTTTCCCTGCATTCATCTTAGTTTTCTCACCTACCTATATTCTGCCCTGCCACAGGCCAAAGCAGCTTCTTTATTAACCAATGGGAATAAAACATATTTATAGCTTACAGAGGGGAATCCCACAGATTTAGCTCATCACCTATCAAAAATATGAGTATTGTGTGTGCCAGGTGCTCAAGGCACTCATGGAACTGTCTTCAGGTATTCTGAAGAGTAGTGCGACCTTCCTTTCAAAATAAGAGTCCACTGAGTGCTGGTGGTCTATTCAGATACAGAGCAGGGGATGATGGGACTTGAGGTTTACAGAACTCGGGCAGCCCAGATGTTATACTACTTCTGAATTCTACGGCCCCGCGATTTCCCGGGAACTTGTGGAGACAGAGATCGTCAGGATCCGATTTTCACTATGAAGGCCAGCCCAGCATACCTGTGCCCGGCACAGGATCCGTTCAATGTGGTACGGCTCGTGATTGCTGGGAAAGTGCTAGAAGACAACCCAGAGACGTGTGGGGTACCTGCAGACCACGTCACAGCATGGCTCCTGACTACAAGACTCCTCACGGAGTAAATCTCACCTGGGTCAGGCCACTGAGGCCTCGGGCGGCTCCGTTGGCCCCCAGAGCGAGGTAGGTCCCGCAGAGGCCCTCTGCTGGTCGGACTACAGTGGGCAGCAGGAAAGAGAGGGGCCGCTTCCCTGGCTGTACCGAGTTCTCCTGTGGCCAGAGGCAGAGATGAAAAGGGAGATGGAGAGTGGAGCGACACGGGGAAGGGACCAGGTTAGCACCATCCCACTTCTCTTCTACACGGTCCACAGATTCAGCTCCTGAAAGATGGGTCCCCTCCTGGCCACAGTGTACTGTAAGACTAGCATGGTAAGAGCGAGTGAGATGTGGAATCGTTGAGTTATGGGGTTGGTATGGATGGAAGGGGAAAAGACAGTCAAGAAAAATAGTAATGGGGACAGTAGACTTCCCATTGGACCATCTCTGTGTTTTTGCCCTATAGCAAGCTTGCCGGAGTAGAAACGCTGGTCTCCAAGTGGACAGTAATATCTAAATTCCTCCTCCTGGCCCCTTTTTAGTATCCAGCCACAGATCTGAATGCCATTAGCCCAGCATTATATAATCTTAGCTCTCTAGTGCTAGAAAGAGCTCAAGCCCTAACTGGGGTCCGTTGTCTCATTGCCCAGAGAGGACGCAGGGCTTTTTCCCTAGTCTTACTAAGATCATGACAGAATGGCTCAAGAACTCCTTAGACCCACCAGCCTTCATGTTCCAGATTTAGCAGGGTTTAATAGATGTTCTTATAGGAAATAGGGGGGAAGAAAGCCCCATGGTGCTGTGTGTCCTACCTAGCCTCAAGGTCCCTGGGAGAGCAGAGAAGCAAGAGCCTACCAGGCTGGGTGCAGAGTGGTTAGCAGTCCTGTTGGGCCAGGAGAAGTCCAGCATCTGGCTGTTGAGTAGGATCCCAGAGGGAGTGATGAGGCCACTACCAAAAGGCCGGTTCAGGGAGCTGGGCAGGTAGAAGTGAGGTTGAGTGAGCTCTGTGGCGCCTTCACCTTTACCCAGCCCCCACCTCCCATCCTGCTTGGAATGATTTCTTGTCACTGGTGTTAACCCTGAGCTGACATACCTGACCATAGCCACAATGAAGTCATCAGGGCCCATGATCAGCACCTGGGCAGCTGTGGGCGCCCCGTCCAGCTCATAGACAGGCAGGAGTGGGGCAGGGGCTGCCTGAGAGTCACTGATGTGGCCCCGGAAGTTGGCAGCCTCCACCTTGCTGCAAAGGGGGTGGTAGAGGAATGAGAACACAGCAGCTTTGATCACATCCCACCTGTCTGTGACGTTCACATGGTTCCTGGGTTAGGTCTGCCTGCTTTGCTGGAATAACAAGCCTACAATGGAAGATGGCCCTGCTCATACGTAGGAAACTCCCTTGGTTAAATCTGCCTGCTTTGCTGGAATAATAATAAGCCTATAATGGTAGATCACACTGCTCACACGTAGGAAACTCCCTTGGTTAAATCTGCCTGCTTTGCTGGAATAATAAGCCTACAATGCACTGCTCACACAAAGAAAACTCCCAGGAGAGAACTACCGAATTGAAGCAACTTATTTAGGTGTTATTCAGCAAGCTACAGTCAGCTTTTTATTTTACTTAATGTTCCAATCAAGTGTCACAGTTATTTGGCTCCTCTCCTTTCTGTGAAAATGCCTGGGGCCCCGTGGATACTCTGAGATACTTGTTTGGATAAACAAGCTTGCCTGATTTGGCCTAATGTTTGTAGTTTGGAGCTAAAGTTCATTTAGAATTTAGTTAGATGGGGCCCATGAGATGGCTCGGTGGGTAAACAAATGTTGCAAAATAGAAAGGACAATGCAGTAATCTCCCTCATCAATCTTAAGTCAACAGGGCATGCAGTTTGCTTCCTTCAAGGCTAGCTGCTTTCCGTGCAAGCCTGACGACTTGAGTTGTCCTCTGACCTCTACACACACAACGGCAAGTATACGGCTCTGCAGGCATTCCCAAATCACACATCATCCCCATTAAATAAATAAAATAAATATTTAAAAACTATTTAGTAAGCCGGGCGGTGGTGGCGCACGCCTTTAATCCCAGCACTCGGGAGGCAGAGGCAGGCGGATCTCTGGGAGTTCGAGGCCAGCTTGGACTACAAGAGCTAGTTCCAGGATAGGAACCAAAAGCTATGGAGAAACCCTGTCTCGAAAATCAAAAAAAAACAAAAACAAAACAAAACAAAAAAAAAAACCTGTTTAGTTAGGAGGTTAGAGGGATGGCTTAGTGGTTAAGAGTGCTGGTTGCTCTTCTAGAGGACCCAGGTTCAATTCCCAGCATCCACATGGCAGTTCACAATTATTTGTAACTCCAGTTCCAGGGAATCTGACATCCTCACACAGACATACATGTAGGCCAAACACTAATGCACATAAAATTAAAATAAATCTAATAAAGCAAAACAAACTGTTTAGTTAGAAGCCAGAAGTGAGCCGGGCGGTGGTGGCACAAGCCCTTTAATCCCAGTACTCGGGAGGCAGAGACAAGGTGGATCTCTGTGGGTTCTAGGTCAGCCTGATCTACGAGGCTGATGACCACACACAGTGAGCTACAGTGCTTTGGGCAGGCAGGAGCTCGATTTTCACCCTTCATCCTTGCTGCTTTGATGCTCTTTAGTTTGCATTGTTCGCATTTTTGCCTTGTTTTGATCAATGATATTAACTTTTGTTTTTTGATACAGGATCTCTCTTTTTAGCCCTGGCTGACCTGGTACTCACTAGGTAGACTAGGTTAGCCTTACATTCAGAGATCCGTCTGCGCCTGCCCCAGAGTGCTGGGGTTAAAAATGCCTGCCCCCACTATATCCAGCACGATATTAATCTTTGTTATAGTGTGTGTGCATTTGTGTTGTGTGAGGGCACGAGTCTGCTGTGGTGAACACATGACGTGATGCACATGTGGAGGTCAGAAAACAATCACGGGCGTCTGTCCTCACTGTTCACTTTGAGGCAGGCTTGCTGCTGTTTGTTTGTTTGTTTGTTTGTTTGTTTTTCCCCACTGTCTATGCCAGGGTGGCTTCTGGGAATTCTAGCCCCACCTCAAGAGGTTACTAGAATTACAGACACCCATGCTGGGTTTTTATATGGGTTCTGGGGGTTAGGTCTCCACACTTGTGCTGAAAGTGATTTTACCCACTGAGCTATTTCCTAGTCTCCATGGCTTTAAATTGACAGATACAATTAGATGTATTTCATACAACGCAGCTCCCATTGTAGCTCAGGTTGACCTACGACCTAGCTCAGTAACTTACTGTAAAGCCCCAGCTGACCTTGAAGTTAGGGCAGTCCTCCTGCCTCATCCTCTTGAATGCTGGAATTATAGACACAAAACACCAGCATATTTTGAGGAGGAGGTACTTACACATGGAAGAATGGTCAGATTTCACTAATTAACAACTGTGATAGTCCATAGTTATCATTTTTGTAGTGAAAATACAGAACTCTTTGTATTATTCAAACTGCAGTAGCTTGTCACTAACTCCAGTCACCAAGCTATGCAAGAGCTTCTCTTGAATTTGTTCCTGCTACTTGCAACTGGGCATCTATCCCTTTCTCTGAAACCTCTGAATCCCCAATCTTTTTGCTTTTAAATTATAAGTTGCTCACAACTGAATCCTTAGAGTGATGCTTGAGTAACAGTACAAATTTACATAAACCATATTTTTGGCTTCTGGTTTTCCTGGAGCTAGACTGTAAGTCAGGTACCATAGCAGTCAAACAATTAATCCATTCTTACCTCTATGGCCAATTAACATAAATAAATTGCATTTACTGCACATTTGCTATGTTGCCAGTTAATGTGCTAAATGCTTTACATGTTTTTCTTTTACTTATTTACAGGTGATTATCATCAAAACCTCACAGAGTGGATACAGATTTGCCAGGGTCCCTGTGAAAACAGACTTAGTGGGTTTAAGTTACTCTCCCAAGTGAGAGTCAGCCAATGGTAAAGTGTAGGTCTAAGGGAGGCAGTCTGACCAGAGCCCAGTCTCACCATGGCGTTTCTGGCAAGGACAGAACCACTCAGAAGCCCCACCCACTCCAGCATCTGCACAGAGACTATTTTGTTGCTCTCAGACTTTCCTTTTCTACCCAAAGTGGAGAGCAGCTGTGTCCGTATGGGTGAGATCCATGCAGGGGACAAAAAGGGCTCATAAGCAGTTGTGACCAACTCACTGTGCAGACAGGGAAGACAATGCAGCCAGAGGCACCTGGTGTCACACCGAGTTAGGGTTCAGCTGAAAGGGACTCGAGACTTCACTAGCTGCTTACCTGATCCCTTCTCCCATATCTACCCCGATTTCTGCAGCCCCCAGGGTCATGTCCCGGGACAAACCTGAGCATGTCATCCATGCTCTCGGTGATGGTAGAATCGTAGACAGGGTCTCCCAGTCTGCTAGCCAGGGCCAATGCAATCTTCAGGGTCTGAAAACACAGCAAGGATGTGGGAAAGGCTGCCAGGCCCCTCCCAGCACCCAAACTCAGGGGATCCTCATGTTTAAGAAAACTTAAAGGTGTTTCAATCCTGCTCCAAGGAGATCCTCCATTTCCCCACTTCTCGTGGTCCCAGATCCAGGTAAGGTGGAGAGTAGGCCTTACCTCCGCTACCCAGTGAAGCGCCTGCTCACGGGACACCAGGCTGGTAAGGTTGAAACCCTCTAGGATGTTGAGAGCACTGATGAGGGCAGGGCCTGTGTGTGGGGGTGGGGGACTGAGAACCAGGTGGCCTGAAAGGATAGGAAACGACCAGATGGCAGGAGAGGAGTCAAGTCATCTTGATCTAGCACATCTTAAACGCACACCCCACCGTTACACACACAGCAATAACCCTTATCAGACGAGGAAACCACTAAGAGGCAACGCTCACATGCTGGTCAGAGGTGGGGCCGAGCTCGAAATCAGGCCCAACCTTCCGCTCCCTCGGCCACAGGAGGAAATTAAGGCTTAAGAGCTGTGCTGTACTCGTGTTGGCAGCAAACATATTAAATCTGTGCTAAGAGTCACATTACAGGTCACTGGCAAAGCAGGGATGGGTGAGCGAATGTCCACAGAATCCTTGTTTGCCATGAATCCTTCAATCCCTCCCACAGGCAAGGACCTGTTCAAGGGCCCTGATGGCGCTTCTCAACCTGAAACTTCTTGGGAGTGGCAGCGTTCCCTTCCTACTCTGTAATTTAGTGGCTGGACAGTAAAAGAATAATCACAACACTGGCGGCATAGAACACTGACATTCAACCTTATTCTAAGGGGGCAGAAACTGAGGCATGAGAAGCAACCGGGCCAGGGCTAGAGGAGATCAAGTGAACCTATAGTACCCAAGGCCCCGGACCACTGAGATAACCCAGTGCAGAGAGGGAGAACAGAAGACCTGGTAGTATTCAGTGCCCACTGTGCCCAAGGCCGCTTCCCATACTATCTCATCAGATCCTCATGGGCACCCTGAGATGTGGACGCCATTACTGTCTCCATTTGAAGGAGGGAACCAAGGCTCAGAGTGGGAAGTCCGAGGAGAGGTACAGCTGAGGCCCTCCTGACTCCAAGGCTATATTCTTTCCTCAACGTCATTTACTACTACCTCTGGTTGAGGAATCAGGAAGACAGGCACCTGGAAATATGAACTCAGAGGAAGCCTCACCCAGGGCTTGCGGGTAACCTGTCCTTCCTAGAGTGGAGAGGACCCAGAACCCAGCACTGGGGTCAGCACATATAAACTGCATTCACGCCACAAGCTTGGCTTTCTAAACTTAGGATTGGTTTCTTGAGTCAGGCAGGTTGTTCCCTTCCCTCCCTAGGCCTCAGTTGTCTTTTACTGTCAGTGAGGGGCAAGTCTGTGATTGTCTTGACAGGTTGATTCTGCCCTTCCATGAACTTGGGTCTGACAAATTCTTCTTAGCAAGCACAGGTCAATGAGAAGGGAGCTAGCAGACAGGGTTGAGGCGATACAGAACCCAAATCAAGAAAACCTCAGCATCTGGGAATGAAACTCAGTAATGGGGAATTTGTCCTCTATTAGAGCCCCAATTCCCAGCACTATAAAAAAAAAAAAAAGCAAATAAATCACAAATCCCCACAAAACAAAAGAAAAGGTCGTGTTTAGAACCCCAAACTTCCAGGTCTTAGCCATTGGCTATATGCCCCCACACCACATCCTTGTCACTTAGGGTAACTGACCCCATGGTTATTTTAGAAGGTGGCTGGCTCTGGCTGCCTAGGGAGTTCATTGCCTCCGTATCTCCTGTGCCATGGAGAGGCGTTTCCAGGCCAAAAAGATGTGGCCAAGGACTGGAAAGCTTCTCCTGAGTGGGGACCCTTAGGAGCTGGGGGAGAGGTCACCTCGGTACACTCCACACACAGGCTTCTCCGTGAGGGCGCTATAGTTGCTAAAGTCCTCTTCAGTTATGACACCCCCTGCATGCTGAGCCTGGAGGGGAGAAAATGTCCATCTGTCACCGTGAGCACGATACATGTCTCATACATGACCATGATGCATGCCCGTGATACATGTCTCAATCACAGACAGATAAGCTGTTTATAGCTTTAGTTCCTTCCACAGTCATCAGCATGTCCTTTAGGGATCCCATCAGCCCAAGGACAAAGGAGGCAGAGGAAATAACACATGCGCAAGAATTATCAAAACTGAAGTTGACATTTCACTATAACCAGTTGAGGATATTCTAGGGATAGGGTATAGCCCCGTGGTAGAGTGCTTGTCTAGTACACTCAAGGCCCTAGATTTGAAACTCAATACAGTCCTCCACCAAATGGTAAGGCTACTACAAAACTCTGAGCTTTGAATAATCCTGGTGGGACTGACCCTATAGAACATAACTGAGCACGCTTTCCTGACCAATCACCAGTCTTGTACAAATCAATGTGCTCATTCCATTCTCAAAGCAATTCATTGTTAATCTTTTAAAAATAATTTAAAATTATTTCATGTATAAAGGTGTTTTGTCAGCATGGTTGTCTGTGCACCACATGCATGTAGTGCCTATGGAGGCCAGAAGAGGGCGTCAGATCCCCCCTTGGAATTAGAGTTACAGATGGTTGTGAGATGCTGAGAAGCAAACCTGGTCCTCTAGAAGAGCAGCCAGTGTTCTTAACCACTGAGCCATTTCTCCAGCCCCATGCCAATTTTAAATTAGTATTACCATTATCAACCGTTATACTTTCTAGTTTGTAAAACTTTTGACTTATCTGCCCTTAGTGAACTGCTCACTGGATTTCTAGGGTAGTATATAGCCACGTGTCTGGCAGATTACTAAAACACAGTACCCGGTACAGAGAATGTCCTTCAAGCCTGAATGACACACCTATGTAATCCCCACAGAGACAACAGAGGTTTAGATAAATGTCCCCAAGGCATAGTACCACTCAACTGCCCTGTGCACACTGTTCTTGAACTTTTCCTTGACAACATTCTCAGAGTTGATGATTACCCTAGACTAAGCCTCTTTGGAGTTGGGGGTATCCTCCTATGTCAATCTCCTCGGTTCTGATGGTTACCAGGGAAGATTCTGGGCCCAGGGGAACTGAGACTAATGCTGAGTTTCCACCAGGCCTGGAAGGAAACAGATCAGCCTCCTATACAGCTGGCGCCAGCCCGGAGAAGCCCAGCTTTCCTCTCAAGACTGAGCATCTCTATCCCTTGTCTATCCTGTCAGTAGTAGGCAATGCTTCTTGCCCTTAATAACCCCTGGTCTCGTTTCTATCACCAGTGGCTAACTGTGTTTATGAAGCACACAGCCAGAAACCATATAGAGGAGAAAAGGGGAGGATGGCATTCCTGCCGCAGGGTCACTGGGCACACCCCACCTTCCACTGTTAACACTCACCTCGACCACCATCTCTAACGTGAGGTTGCCGCCATTGTAGAAGGCAGCAGGGCCAGAGATGCCAAGTATATCCAGTACTTCGGCTAGATCAGGCCGTCGCAGCAGGGAGCCAGGCAAAGGTGGGTGGCCCGATGGCAGGAAAATCTCCAGGAAACGTTCGGATGCGTTGGGAGGCAGCTGCTGGGCCAAGGCATGGGCTGGGGGGAAGTTGAGAGGCCAAGACTGGACTTGATGGCTGAGGTGTGTATGGGTGGGGTGGATGAGGGCTAAGTGACTGGCCCTGAGAGGCCTGTCATAGGAGGGTAGGGATACACATAGGCTCTTCCCAGACCCTCTCACTGGAGGCTGCCTGCGGCTGGGATGGGAAGAAGTCTGAGGAGCAAACTGGAAAAAGAACCCCTTTGCTTGGGGCCCAAATCTCAAAGGCCTCCCCCATTAACCTTGTACCTCCCCCCCCTCGACCTCCAGGCCCCACTGACCTAGATCATGGGTCACGTTGAAGCCATCTTGGGCCACAGCTGCTGCGAAGGCCAGGACTTGGGACCAGGGCAGCCTGAGGGGGCCGGAGAGCAGGGGGTGGAGGAGGTCCTGGGGGGAGGAGGAGGGGTCCTGGGGGAAGGGGGATTCCTGGGAAGGAGAATCCTGGCAAGGGAAGGGGATATTAGGAAGGGGAGTTGGGAAGGGAAGAATCCAGGAGGACAGGAGAAGGCCACCCAAAGAGGGATATAGGCAGAGGCCCCTGGTCCCCAGGGGAGAGTCTTTACCTGCCATAGAGCTGATGAGCTTCATGTAGCCCTTTCACCATTCCGGGGACCCCCACCAAGAGCCCAGGCTGGGCGAGGCGGGCAGGCGAGGGAGAGAGGAGACCAGGTCACTGGAAGGGGGGGGCTGGGCTGAACTCCGCAGAGCCCCAAGCCAGGAATGGCTGGCACAGGGGAGAGACACAGGCCAAGGATCCCAAGAGAGGGCCAAGCTTTCCCCATGGAGTACCTCTCCCTCATCCCTGATTTTTTTATATGCCAATGCAGAAAGGTCTTTGACTCCCATAGTTGAGGGATTTAATAAGTTAAGCAAACCCTTTCAAGAGGCAGGACAGAAACAATCTGAGTAAATCTGTTCACATTGGATAATGGGACCCTTATCTTTTTATATGAGGGACAAAGGACCTCAGTTTTGTCAGTTCATTTTCATGCCACCACCATTTGAGCTGTGATACTCAGGGGTGTGTTTGGGTTTTTCCATAGCACTAAACACCTGCTTTCTCAAGTTACCCTGCTTCCTCCTTTGCTCTCAACAAATAGTGAGTTTGCCTCTAGCGTTTTTCTCCCAGTATAACACAGCCTGGGAAAATTACAGTCATCAGGCTTAGCGTGAGATAGCTGAGGGTTTTGCTTGTTTGCTGTTCTTTTGGAGTTTTTGTTTGTTTGTTTGTTTTTGCTTTTTTAAGACAGTTTCTCTTTGTAGCCCTGGTTGTCCTGGAGCTCACTCTGTAGACCAGGCTGGCCTCCAACTCAGAGATCTGCCTGCGTCTGCCTCCCAAGCGCTGGGATTAAAAGCATGCGCCACCACTGCCCTGTAGAGATAGATGAGTCTTGAGGCAACAACTGAGTGGTATCTTGGGTACTCAAAGGCGTCCTTCTACTCTCTTCCAGACAGACAAGACTGCCGGGGAAGTAAGATGTTGTGGTGTTATCTGTTACTAGTCATCTAAATCTTTTTGTCCATTTTATTTCAATTTTAAGATTATATTTATTTAATTAGCTTGTGTGTATGAGAACGTGCATATACCATGGTGTGTGTGTGTGTGTGTGTAGAGCAGAGGACAACTTGTAGGAACAGGTCCTCTCCTACTGTGTGGGACATGGAGATCGAACTTAGTGGCAGATGCCATCACTCTCGTTGGTCCTTGTTTATTATTCTAGGTGGGGGCGGGCAAGCTGCCGCCATTAGATGGCCTAAGAGCATTTTGCTCAACTCATTTTGCCACCCACACAGTAAATATGCAACAAATCAAGGCTCAGGTTGGCAGAAGGGAATGTAGGGAGGCCGCTAACCCTCTCCTTGGGCCCTCTCTTCTCACCAGGGTGCTCACCTTGGTATCCCAGGACCTCTGCAGGGCCTCTTCCCGGAGGGCCCCTGGTGCGGACTCCCGGAAATCGATCAGGTGGCTCTCATTCCGTCGGATATCATGAACCAGCATCACACCCCCACTGGGAAAGACACAGACAGTGGAAAGCGATGAGAACATGGCGCCCTTCTCAAAGATTAAACTACCAGACCCTTAATCCTCTGTGGTGAGGCTGTTTGTCACATTGGGTCAGATGCTGGAGCCCCCTCCCCAGCAGGAATTCAGAAACTCAGCCATCCTATAAGGGTAAAGTAAAATCAAGGGGGTAGGAGACCCAGGTTACTGGAGACTTTAATCCCTGATTAAGAAAAATACAGAGACTGGGGGAACAGGTTGTTCTGTCCCCTCCCTAGACCAGAGCTGGACCCCTGCCAGCTTCCTGCACCTGCCTGCTTGGTATACTCTCCCTTTCCCCTAGGACTGGATTATGTAAGGATAAACCACGCAGAGCCAAAAGGGGAATTTTGTTGGTAGAGCCTGGAGGATTGGTCCTACCAAGAGAATGATTTTTGTCAGCTTGTTCCTTTTTTGTGGCATATTTACATCTGAGATGGGGGTGGCAAAGTTAAATACGTGCAGCCAAGTAACAAAATAAGGAAGGCAGAGGAGACAAATGACATCAAAGTGGCCAGTACCCTGACCGGTCATAGGAAGCACTCTGCTGAGCTCCAGATAACTGTAGCCACATGGGAATGTGGGCTCCATGTTACCAGATCTCCTGATTGTTCCAGAGAGGTTAGCAATCTGGACTTTTAGGAAAACTATCGACATTTTAACAATAGCAAACATTAAAAAAATTTTTTTTAAATGAGAAACTCAAACCATTCTAGGTGCTGGGTCTGGCTTTTGATTGGCCAGTTTCCAACCTTGGTTTTAAGAGCTCCAAGCCTGGGGTGTATTTTCTGTGGACAGAGTCACGGGAATTTGTGAACCTAAAAGTTGGAGCATCATCACAGCTTCAATCCATGCCCCACTGCTCCCTGTGTAGCCCGTTTTATACATCACAACATTGCTCTCCTGGTGGAAAACCATGACTGCTTCTGATCACGCCTCCATTTCTCCCATATGCTACTGCGATCCTGACTCCATTCAGGGAGAAAAAAAGAGTGAAATTGGGTATTGAAAGAGAAAACGCAAAGAGGATAGGCCTACCTTTGCCTCAAGTTCAAACCAAAAGAAACCTGCAGCCAGGCCACAGGAAATAGGCCTGAGGGACCCAGGCCTCCACCCGGTCCTTACCCAGCTCCTTACCCGCCCAGGCCAGAACTGTGTGGAGCCACGATCCCCAAACACAAGGCTGCGGCCACAGCTGCATCCACGGAAGAGCCTTGTTTACTGAGCACCTCCATGCCCAGCGCTGTACAACGGGAGGCATCCGTCACCACAGCACCCTGCTGGAAGATCTAGGAGGCAAGAGAAGAGTGGGCTAGTAGGGCCCTCTACCACCCACAAGTACTTCCATTAACCTAGAACCTCGACCTTCATGTCCTTGGATTCTTAGAGTCATTTCCTTTGGGAGCCTTCCTCTCTTCCCATTTCCTAGCAGGCTCCCACTACCCTGCTACTCAATTCCCATCACCTTCTCAAGCTTTTCCTCACTTCCTCCTCCCAAGTTCCCTTCTGCCCATCTGCGGTCCTCACCTGGGGGTCCCCGAAGTAGATCTGCATGACCAGCGCCACAGTCACACCCGTGGCAAAAGTGAGGCAGGCGGTGACGATGACCGTGAGCCCATCCTGGCGGCAGGAGCACTCGGCCGCTGCAGCTGAGAATGGGTCCTTGCGTGTCTCCCGTAGTGGTGACCCGTCCTGGCTGCCCATCTCGGATGAGGACGAAGGCAGCCGCTGTAGCCGGGCGGACTTCAGGAAGGAGTCCGGGTCTGTGGGGCAGCTGGGTATCGGTCTGGCAGCCCACTACCTGGCCCTGCAGTCCTCAGGGTGAGGCGTTCCACACGCCCCCGTGCCCCGCCCATCATACAAATCCCACCGCCCCGCACCGCCCAGTTTTCCTCTACTCCAACATACCTTAGGGCCCCGGGGGAAGCCAGTTTTCAGGTGAAAAAAAGACCTCAAACTGGCCAGCTGAAAGGTTGGATTCCTGCCTCTGGCAAATACCCATGAGACTGGTACCCGGGTGTGAGGGTGTTCAGCCTCCCCTGGAAACCTTATCCTGTCTTAGTTGGGTAACAAAGCCTCCAGCACAAGGGGCAACTACCAAGCCAACTTCCTTGGCTTCCTGCCTTGCTCCACGCACCCATTCATTCAATAGCTACAACAGATAATTGCCACGTTCGCTTTCTCAGGCCGATGGAGGAAAAGAAGGTAAACAAGTACACAAGTTGTGGCAGAGGTTATACAAAGCATGAGGGGCTGGGGAGCGGGCTCAGTGTTAAGGTCTCTGCAAGCATGAGGACCTGATTTCAATTCCCTAGCTCCCAAAGAAAATGTGCCTAACACCATGGCGGGGCAGAGGCTGAGCCTGAGAGTTAGCTTCCCAAGGACAACTTCTGGTTCAGTGAGAGACTGTATCAAGGCAATAAGAGCAATGAGGATCTATATTCACAGTTCTACTGTGGCCTCCACACATGATCCCATGATACACACACACACACACACACACACACACACACACACACCCTAGAGCATATGATGAAATGTTAAAAAGGAATGAGGACCTGCTTCCCGGGGAAATCAGGGAAGGGCCTCCCGAGGAAATAATTTTGGGCAGAGAATGAAGGGACGAGAAAAGGCTGCCACTGACAGAGAACAAGGAGCTCATGTGTAGAATGTTCTAGGAAGAGAGAGCAGCAGGTTCAAAGGCCCTAATGCAGGAACGAGTTTGACGTTTGAAAGAAATAACTAAGGTCAGGTAGTTCTGGTGTGGCAGCAAAAGAGGGGGCGGGAAATCAAGCCGGATGGCGCTAGTCCTATGGACCTGAGAACTTGGACTTGACCTGTTAGAGGCCACCTAGAGAGTTGTAAGACTGTGAAGCCATCTATAGCAAGGCGGGAAATCCAGTAGAGATAGAGGGGAAAAGAAAGGTGGAGTCAGACAGATGCCATGTAGCTGCCAAAGGAGAAAGACACCAAAACCTTACCGGTAAGCCACAACCTCATGGCAACACACAGATTAATAGAAAAACGTTAATGTAGAATATAAGAGCTAGGTAGAAATATGCCTAAGTTGTTGGCCAAGCAGTGTTGTAATTAATATAGTTTCTGGGGGATTATTCGGGTCTGGGTGGCCGGGAAATGAAGACACAGTCTCTGTTTACAATCTGTGGTGGTTTGAATAAGAATGGCCCCCATTGGCTCATATGTTTGAATGCTTAGTCATCAGGGAATGGCCCAATTTGAAAGGATTAGGTGTGGCCTTGGAAGTGTGTCACTGAGGGTGGGTTTTGAGGTTTCAAAAACCCATGCCAGGCCCAGTGTCATGAGACCTGTGGATGCAGATGTAGAACTCTAGTTACTTTTCCAGCACTACATCTGCCTATATGCTGCCATGCTTCCTGCCAGGATGATAATGGACTAACCCTCTCAAACTGTAAGCAAGCAACAATTAAATGCTTTCTTTTATAATAGTTGCCATGGTCCAGAAGGATCTCTGTGGGTCTGAGGGCAGCCTGGTCTACAGAGCGAGGTCCAGAACAGCCAGACAGCCAGAGCTGTTACACAGAGAAACCCTGTCTCAAAAAAAAAAAAAAAAAAAAAAAAAAAAAAAAGA